AACAGCATCGAATCAAAAACCCAAGCTCTTCTTAGACAAGCAAATGCCAAAAATAATAATAATAATTATAGTCAGTTTGTTATGCTGTCAAACTACTTAGTTCACCCAAAAAATCTAAATGTTTTACTTTATTTACCCTCAAGCCATCCAAAACTTCTTTGGTCTTTGGTGATTTATAAGTCAATGGTAACTGGCTCTAAGAGAGTCATAAAATACAAAACAAAATGTTCCCTCATAAAACTATTAAGCACATGGTTTTTTAACATTGTTTTATTCTTTTTTCTTCAAATCAAACTATGTAATGTTATACATCGTAACAAATAATTTGTGACATGCCCACCTACAAAGAGTCAGTTTCCCGAAATTCAAACTATTACATAATATAATGGTAAAAATTAGCTGTATATCCAGTTAATATATATTTAATTATATTTTTAAATACAATATTTATGATAATTTTTTCATTTTTTCAAATATGTATACATTTTTTAAGTTTAAGCAACATGATACACAATCATCACTGCTTGGTTTGGTTCATGCCCAGTAGGCATAGGACGTCAACATAACGTCAAATTGACATTCCATTTTGGATACTTTCCAACGCCACCTAAAAACAACAAAAATCAACGTCTAATGATGTTACAGCTCAATGTTGTGTTGACGTGGACGTCCCTATGTAGGTGTCCAGAAGGCATCCGAAAAAGAAGCCCGAGCCACCTCAGCTGGCTTCTCTCAATGTGGAGGAGCAGCGGCTCTACTCTAAGCTCCTTCCTATCTATAATGGTGCACCCTGCCACCCTTCGAAGGGAACTCATTTTAGCCACTTGTATTCAAGAACTTGTCCTTTTGGTCATGACCTAAAACTCATGCCCATAAGTCAGAGTTGGACCGTTGACTGGTAAATCGAGAGCTTTTCCATTCAGCTCCGCTTTACCACAATCCGCCTGTCAATCTCACGTTCCATCCTTCCTTTCCTCGTGAACAAAACTCTACATTTTTTAAACTCTATCTGGGTTGAGGACTTTCCATCAACCTGCAGAAGGCAAACCACCTTTTTCCAGTGGAGCACCATGGCCTTGGATAGAAATGTTGGCTGTTTTAAAACCTTAATTTTTCCAAAGCTAGAATACCTTGAAAAAGGTTATCGTCCCATGCCTAACGTCAATATGACATGGTTTAAAATGTTGGCTGAATGCTCTATTTTGGTCATTTTTCAACACAAGCTAAAACCAACCAAATATCAACAACATTTCACATAATTGGACATTAAAATAACATTGTCTTTACACGCTGTTGACTTAATCTAACCCAATATTAACATCTTATGACGTTGAGTGTCTGCTAGGTAGCCTTAACTCTTTTCAACAATTACTTGTTTTCGCCATGGGGAAAGTTTATTGCTGAAAAAAATGGTCAGGCACTAATGTACCGTATGATCCAGGACAAGACATTTCTAATCACAAGGAAGTCCAGTTCCACATGTCTCTGTACAGTATGATCCCACAGTCACTTTCACCCTGAAGCTCAGAAGTATGCCTTGTAGAAGAACATTTTGAAAGTGCTTCAGTTGCAGCACAGAAGGAGAGAAGGTTTAAAAGCCACAGATTCATTGCGCCTTATAAAGCAACAGACCCTGTGTGGAATTTAAATGACTCTAACTAAAGTGGCCTTCATACTAATGCAGATCATGTCGGGCAAATGTAATGCACATCATCGTCCTCCAAATATTTAGCTAGCTCCTTCTGTTGTCTGGATAGCGAGTAAATATTGAGCATATGAGAGAGAAGAATAATTTCAGAAGGGTCTATTTGCACTAATAATGTGATGCTAGATTATCAATATGTTACAGTGTGACATGACATTATATGTAAAATCTGATAACAGAGCACAATGCACAATTGAATGCAATTCATTTTTAACATCCATACATTTTAATCTCAAATATCAAGTTATTTATTTATTTTATTTTACTTTTCATAAAACTGTTCAGATAACTGAAAGGATGTACCAGTTTATGGTCCAGATTGTGATACAAGATGTTGTCAAAACCATTCAAATTTTTCTTCATTTTAAAATATCACATACATAGAGCAAAATATAGGAAAACTGTAGAAATTACATGGTTTTCAATTGGTAAGTTCAATTTAATCCCCTTTAAATTCTACGAAATATAATAGTAAAGGTAAGACGACATGCCTGTTGAATGCTAATGTCTATATGACAAATTTTAGTTGTAAGAAGTGTATGTAATAGATGCAGATGTGATAGATAGATGTGCATATATCATACAAACATAGTATTTTTAAAATATGTGTATAGCCATTATAGTGTACAGTAGAATGAACAGTATCCATTTTAGTAGTATTTAACATGTATTCATTAATAAAAATGCTATTGAACAAATTGAGCTACAATATATGGAAGCTCAATAAAACTAAATGTTAGACAATAGTAATACCTGCAGTGAGGTCATGCAACAACATACCAAACATGGTGCACGTGTGATGCATAACTCCATTTTTCCACAACATCCTAAATGCTTCAAAGACAATCATAAGTCTTTCAAATCCCAAAAAATTAGCAAGCACAAGAGGATAAAAGTCAAAACTTACCACAAGGTAAACAAGTAAAATCATCGCAGGCCCGTGCATGAAATCCGGACAATATATAATCCAAATATAAAAAGAAAAAGCTAAGAAATAATCATGCTTAATGCAAACAACACCACACAAACAATGCTAATTATAGTCAGCAGGTGTGTTAGTTTTCTATAAGAGTGCGCCCCCTGCTGTGTAGGTAGAGTTGTTATTCTTTGTTCCTCAGCCAAAGGGATTCAGATGCGTTTCTGAATCTGTTAAACAGTCGATGCACATGGGAAACCTTTAATGTTTGTCTGCATGTGTTGATGGATGAATAATTTATTTCATGGCATTTTTTTGCTGGAAGTTTATTATCATAGGCCACATTGTATTATTTAAGTAGATTAGCATATTTTACATTTGTAATGGAGCTAACAGATATTTTTAGACATCTCTGTGTTTAAAGAAATGTGTTTTGAGCTTGTGTTAATATTTTTTTCCATGATAATTTCACATGTCTAGAACTGTTAATAAATTATTATTATTATTATTATAAAAATTATTTCAAAATATAATCTGATTCCTGGTTGAACGAGTCTTGTAATGTGAGTCAGATCTTTGCCGTGAATCAACAACATAGAGTGCAGTCAATATAGTCAAATTCCTCATTGATTGAATCCTATTCTCAGTCAAATTATTCTTTTTAGGTAATTAGAGTGACCAGTATATTCTGATTCTTCATTAAAATCTTCTTTTTACTTGGCATACAGTACAGTGCAGCCAGTGTAGTCTGATTACTACACTAATCTGCTTTGTAAAATACAGTCGCTTTGGTGCATTTCTCACAACACTATTTACATTTGCACAACAGTTAATGCTTTCCAAATAATTAGTTTTCTCAAAACAGTCAGGACTTTTCATCTTGATTACACTGACACTTGAATTAAATACTTACTTTTAGGGAAAGAGCTATTTTAGCAAGTGACATGCTTTTGCAGGTTATCAACTAGGTTTTGCAGTTTATTCTAATTATTTTGAGAAATGCGTTAGCTGTTGTGCAAATGTAAATAGTGTTGTGAGAAATGCATCAAAGCGACCGAGAAAAACTGTAAAGCTTTGCCAAGCAAAGAGCATAATTCAAAACCATTATTTAATTAAAGGTCTTGCAGGATTTATAGAAACATTTATAGAAAAATAAAACACTTTGATTATAATGATCCTTAAACATTTAAAAATGTAAAAATGTTTAAGGATCATTATTATCAAAGTGTTTTGTTTTGTTTTTGCTTTTTTCAAAGTGCTTTTACTATTTTAAGAAATATTTTTATCAACACAATAATATTGCATATTTTGGACTTCATCTCAAATGATACATTTTCATGCACAATGCTGCAAACACAAGGTTTGAAATTATAGTTACTAAGATTATGTAGGCTCTTACACCCACTATTTTACTCTCCACATACTCTTGGATCAGGTTCTCTTTTTCTGTGCGTGTGCAGCTTTATTCTATTGTTCGCATTCAGCTGTAAGGCCAGATAATGTGTATATTTTCTGAAGAAGTATGCGGGCGAGCTGCAGACATTAAGCTCTGAGTTAAGGCACTGAAGTCTCCACATAACACTCTGACAGCTGCTGGAGATGAACAGGGCTTTCCTTATCACTCTAAAAATATCTCTGTACACCTCCGTCTGTTTGTCTCTCCACCATACTGACCCAATAATTGCCAACCGAGAGAAGAAGTGGCGCATTGTTTCAATTAAAATGCATTACTATTTATGAATGATTGAGAAAAATGTCATTTTACAGTGAACAATAAGTCAAAATGCACTGTAATTTGCATTAATACGTGTTCTTAGATTTATTTTGGGCAATTTTTTTTTTTTCAGTATGTGTCCGTTCTTGTGACTTTTAGCTGAGATCCCACATCTTTTTTATAGTGCCTCCAACCACACGATTCAGTCCTATCTGTTTTTCCACAGTACACTAGACAGACAGACAGACAGACAGACAGACAGACAGACAGACAGACAGACAGACAGACAGACAGACAGGTAGATAGATAGATAGATAGATAGATAGATAGATAGATAGATAGATAGATAGATAGATAGATAGATAGATAGATAGATAGATAGATAGATAGATAGATAGATAGATAGATAGATAGATAGATAGATAGATTAACATAAAGCTTCATCTACTTACTGACAAGAATGAAGCAGAAATTGCAATTGGGACATTGTAAGCCGCAGCTACAACATTAATTCCTCCCTAGAGATGTTCTGAGCTTCCTCTTCCTTTTGACATCACTTCCTCTTCCACTTAATGTACATTGAGTCCGTTTTCAGATGAAACAATGGCTAATAGTTTCATTGTTTGTGTTTATGATGTATCTTTATGTTTATTACTTTTTTCCAGGTCATCTCTGACATGCCCTCATTGTCTTAAGCAGAGCAACACGTTTGATCCTTTTCTGTGCATTTCTCTCCCCATTCCTCTAAGACAGACACGGTGAGTTAAATTCTGGCCAACAAAAGCATCTGAATCATGCAGGAATTTGTGGTTTTGTAATTTTAGCTACTTGTTGCTTTTCTACAGTCAAAAACAGTGTAGCAATCTAAACAACAGAAATAGATTGATCGCCAGGGAAGTTTTTTTTTTTTTTTTTAAACAGGAGGAGAAGGAGAAGGAAATGACCACCCTTACATTTACAAATACAATGCTATTGTGCCAGTAACTGTAAAATTAGATTGAACATTTTTAATACACATGAAACAGGTTGTTGGAGATATTGAGATGCCCTTTACTACTATCACTAACATTCAACATTCAAAAGCTTATTTTAGACCGTAAAGCATGCGTTTTCTTCTTTCTCTCTGCAGACCTGTGTGTGTGACTTTGGTGTTCAGCAGTAAAGGGCAGCGCTATCTGAGAGTCGGGCTTGCTGTGCCTCTGTTCGGCTCTTTGGCTTGCCTGCGCAGGATGGTAGCAGATGAGGGCAAGATCGCTCCTGATCAGGTGACAGGTGCACACACAGCATCACACAGACCGACCTTATGCCTGCAGACAATTTATTACCTGACCAAGTCAATGTGCTCCAAAAATGAACACTTAGTTTCATCTCTGTCTTCCACTAGGTGATTTTGACAGAGATCTACACAACAGGCTTCCAGCGCTCGTTTTTTGATGACGATGACTTAACCATCATAGCAGAGAGTGACATCATCTATGCCTTTCAAGCTTCACCCCTTTACATCAGGGGTGGCTCTGCACGAATCTCAGGTATGTGTATATATATTATATACTGTATGTGTATGTTTGTACAGCTACTCTTTCTGTTTTTCAAATCTGATTGGTGGAGAACTATTTTTTGGGTAGTATCTTTGACCTCCATACCCATGTATCACTTATTCTGGAACCTGATGTATGTCTCTAAAGTGGTTAAATGGGATTTTTTTGTTTACTAAGCTGTGGTTACCAGCCTCATGACTATGTACCAATAACAGCATTGCTCAGATACATTATATCCGTGTTGCCATATATAATGTTTCTGAAACTGTATTGTACAATATTGATATAGATGAAAGGTGCTGTATGTAAGTTTTTGACTCTTCTAAAGCAGAAAAATATCATAATATGTTTGCAGATATTTAAGAAACTTGCTAAATGAACATTCTGGTTTATCTAAAAAAAATCAATCAAAATCTAATGTCAGATATTCTGCTTTGAAAATTGGAATTTCATGAACGCTGTTTTTGTTTTGGTTCTTTTACCCCCCAATGCCAGATTAGCCAATTATATTTCAAGCCCTGGCTTGGCTTGCTGGAAAACGTGTATTCAATCATTCAGAAAGGCTCTCAAAGCATGCGTCT